CTGAGATTCGAACCCGCATCACCCAGTGTCACTTAGCATGGTGGCCATATTGCAAGCTTGACTGATAGAATTCAGTCTGCACCGAAGATAGGACTAGATACATTACATTAGTTACTGACTAGTGTGCAATCAAAAAAAGAAATGTTTGTGCTAAACAAGTTCTTTAATTTAAGAATAGAATTTTCACTTCGTAATGATTCACCTATTAGACATAGCACAGTAAAACATTACTGCCTACCGTATGACCCTTTTATTACAGTCTATTGTCCCTGTTAAGATTATAACTGTAATTTCCGCGTCAGGCCCTCCAGTGGGACGTGAATGGGAAACGAGTAGGTCGTCGGTGCGAGGATGACATTGAGGCGATTGTGTTAGGAGGAGATGAGAGATTATGGGCAATCTTGGGTTCAGGTGAAGAGGACAACAGAAAACAGAACAAAGTGGATATGTGTTGTTAAAGCCCACCCCCTATGTTCCACTCGGAACCCAAGGTGGAACAATAATAATAATAATAACTGTAATTTCAAGCATTTATCTTATCATTCAACAGAACACTGTGAAAAAGACAAACTTTGATAATATGTAGGGTTCTCTACACATGCGAAAATTTTGTTTGCGTAAACTGTATCATTTATTATTCACTCAGCTAAAATCTAATTAGGAAATTAACTTACGGTGATTAAATAAACATTTTCTTTCCAGATAAGCTGTGAATAACTTATATGAACTGTATTCATCAGTGTAATTAGTTTACGCTTTTATTGATCTATACGGGTAAACCATAACATCAATTTATGTAATATAATTTTTACAGTAGTAATGATAATGTGTCTCACGTGATGCGAAGATTATGTACATGTCAAGTTAGACATGATAAAGTAATAAGCCTATCACCTTCATACTTTCAGTACTAATTAGCAGTGAGCACTAATGAGTTTACCGAAGTAAAACGCGTTTAACTCTACAGTTGTTTACTAGAGTGTGACAACCAGTTTCTTTTAGAAAACATCAACAATAAATTTTACTGACAATACATTCAGTGGTAGGCAATGCAGAATTACGTAAAACAAAATTTCATATATCAAGCTACAATTCATTTGACAACAGATTGAATTCAGTTCATTTCAGTTACTCCCAATGGTATTTTCAGGTTTGCGTTCGTCCAGATAAACTGACACGCTTTATTACTACCTCGAAACGCTTTATGTGCAGTGCTATAAGAAACTACAGTCAAATTCGACTAATGAGTTTCCCAGTGAAACACACTTCAAAAATAGGGCATCTTTTACCTGTTCAATTCAAAAATAAAATAATGAAGATAGAAGGGGAAAAAACTCTGAAGTGAAACAGAATAATTATTTTATTGATAATATAAAATATAAGAAAAAACATCCTGAAGACAAATTTGAATTGTAGCTATTTACAGTATCGATCCGACTTCATTTTCTCACGTCTAAAAAGAAAAGAAAAGAGAAGAGGAGAAAGACTCACTTTAAAATTAAAACGATTTATGTGTCTACAAGGAAGTTGTATTTAGACACTTTTGACAGCTCATTATTCATCATCATCCTCATCATTTTCAATAGTGAAACGTATACACCATGAAAACACTTTATGAGGATTTGAGTGGCACTGAATATACACTCACTGATTCACCTTTTGATAAAACTTAGATAGGAATGTGGTGGTGCTGGTTATACCCTTCCATTAGTTAGTATAAGCAACCTAATTAATCAGCGGGCTGTTTAAAACTTGGGCTACCAAAACCTCCATCATTATGTTACATAATGTACACTTGTATACTTTGTTTTAATCAATTAAATTATGACATCTAGTGGTATTGTTCACTTTTGCGGGTATTTCGAATGCTTACAACCTACTGATTCGGAAGTTTCTACTAAACCTGAGAAAAAAGATAGTCTTCGATGGCAACATATCACAATACATGAGGTAATTGTTCCTGAGATTTTTAGTACAAACTGTTATTGTCTGGGGAACAAAACTAACTACCGACAGTCTTTAATCATTCAATTATGTCCTTGGGTCTCACTTAATATGTACTGCTGAACGTTTTTTAATCAGCTTGCAACCAAATGTCGTATATTTCTTCAAAGAGATAAAGAAGAAATATCCTAAGGTATTTGTCTACAATTCAGGTCAGACAGCATTGTGTCACGCGATCTACGGTCCATTACTATTTGACTTAAAGATCCTGAATGAAGGAAAAACATTATGCAATAATTTCCGCTTAAAATTTTATATAGTACGTAAACGCTGTCCAGAATAAAGCTATTATTATTATTCACAAATACAGCGATAGGATTTCAGTATTCATTTCATGTTCCTTTATTCGCTAAACATATCATCATTACATAATGAAACAGTATATTCTAATGAGTGATTTTATAGAACACAATTTACAGTTTGCACTCATGTCAAGGACGGTTCGTAACTTTTACAAATTGCCTTCATAGTACTAATCTTTCTCCTCCTTTAACTGTAGAAGGATATGAAAACACAACCCAATAAAAAAATATATCGATTGATTGTGTGGTATACTTAACAAATAGGACAAAAAGAATCCCCAACTACCTACCAAAAGTTTTAACAATTATTTGTTACTATTTAGTAATACTGAAGATTAAAACCTATTCAGTAAATTTAGGGCGTATTTAGCACCCCACACGAGCCATTATGCATTCATCAGCACAGAGAAGACCGTAAAGTAAAATGAAAGAGAAAACTAAATGGCAAATCCGTTGCTTGAATTCACTTTCCGGAATAAGCCTTTCATTCCTCAGGCTACGAAATACACTCATTGTGTGAGAGCTGACGATACCCATCTAGTTGGATCAGGGATGAGTCCAAGACCCCCTAATTGAACGAAACAAGTAACTTGGGTTCTCCTTTTGTGTAACTAAACTAAGATGCTTTCAAAAATAGAAATAAAAGACATCATTTAGTGGTCACAAGAATTTAACCACGAAAACATTTTTCTGTGGAAATTCTTCATGGTGTGTTCCTTGTAAGTGATAAAAAATCCAATTCCTAAGCTACTCTTCACATACAAAACTAACAACATGCATATTATAATAATCATTATTCCACTCCGAGTGGGACGTAGGGTTTCAGAGGCATAATATGCGTAACAAATCCGAAAATAGAGACGTAACGACTCATACAATCTTGCTTATTAGAATTCAAAACAATTATACATAATTTTCTCTATACTATACTATAGAGTATGTATACTTATTATGTCGCTGAGTAAATAAGATGTAATTTTCAAATTATAATCAATTGATTACAGAATTTCATCATGAGTTGACATTAGTCAGAGAAACTGAGAGTACTGGACAGTTGTTTCGTCCTAGTTTGGGACTCTTCAGCATTACGCATCCACCGGGGTTCGAACCCAGGACCCTCCGGTTACATGGCGAGCTCGTATACCATTAGGCCACTGGGACCCAATCCAATGGCCCATAAATTCTAACCTGTGGAGTACGTAACAATGTGATTGTACACTTTTTGGTTATTTGTATAAATTCGAGATGTTGTACATGATTTTTGTTTAAAACGCTTCTTGTTGAAATATACATAACTTCCGTGTACAATTGGAAAATACACTCTGCTGTTGGAGACTTCGTCTTCTCCTTGGTTACTTCTGCTTACTTGCTCCACTCATACCGTGTTGTATACTTCGGATTTATTGTAGGAGTCTACTACTCTCAACCGAAGACATTTCTACAACCGGAACACAGCAGCTACAGCAGACGCAACCCAATCAATTAACGTACCCGTGGATTATATACATAATTTGTAGCAGAGGACTTAGACTTTATATCCAAGTAATCCTTTTTGTTGATAAAACTCGTCACTGCATTTTTTGGTAATATATTGTTATTTAACACTCCATTGACTTGGATTATTATTCTTATATTTATAATGTTAGTGAACTCTAGTATAAGTCCCCTACAAACCTCTGCCAATTCACGATATAGCGCGACCGCTAGCCAATGTCTTCGGTGAGTATTTGTCCTCACATCCGACCTGCCGCACCCTACTGGTCACGACTTCCCACTGGAACTACCTACCTGAATAGGGCCAGTCGCCAGTGAGCATCCACTGGATCGGGTCCCAGTGGTTTAATGGTATACGAGCTCGCCTTGTAACCAGAAGGTCCTGGGTACGAGCCCCGGTGGGTGCGTACTGATGAAGAGTCCCAAACTAGGACGAAACAGCTGTCCAGTACTCCAAGGTTTTCCAACGGTACTCTAACCAATGTCAGCTCATAATTAAATCCTGAAACCAATCAATCAAATCCCTACAAACCAATACTTGAATTATAATCAATTGTTGGAATGTTAGGTTGTTAGTTCAATGAGATACACGCTTTTTTTGATTGGACACTAGTCAGTAACTAGTGTGATGTGTGTGTGTCTAGTCCTGTCTTTGGTGCAGACTGAATCCTACCAGTCAAGTTTGCAATGTGGCCACCATGCTAAGTGGCTCGCGGTGAATTCTTGGTATTAGATAGTTGGAGGCGATCGGTTACCCCACTAAAGTGAGTTTCAACCAGTTCCCTAATTAAACTTTTTATTACAAATACGTTTAGAAAAAGCTAATAGTATACATGAAGCCTAATTCCGCAAATATCCAACCGGTTACATCATCGTTAAACCTCTACAACCATCACAGGACAGTATGTATTATTTTGATAAGTAATCGAATATTTCGCTTCTTTAGTTCACTGTTACCAACTCTGTGTACGTTTTTAAGCAGTCCGGCGTTAGAGGTAGTTTCAAACCGCTATGCTATTCTAATTTATCCAAAGTTAACAAGATCGACATACTTTTTATATAAAATACATGGCTTAATGGTATACGAGCTCGCCTTGTAACCAGAAGGTCCTAGGTTCGAACCCTAGCTGTGGCTGCGTACTGATGAGGAGTCCAAAACTAGGACGAAACAGCTGTCCAGTACTCTCAGTTTCTCTGACTGATGTCAGCTCATGATGAAATCCTGTAACCAATCAAATCCCTACAAACCAACACTTGAATACATGGATTTATTGGAGTTTCACACCTTTTGTAAGCAGCGAGAAAATAATGAATGAATGACTGAGAAATAATCAAAATATGAGTCAAAGTAGAGTTGTTACATCCCCATTCTATTGTGAAATATGTTAAAATTGTTGTTGTAGATATATTTAATAATGTCTTTGCCATGTAAGCAGCTGACGAGAAGGCAACGAAATAAAAGATGGTACCATTTTATTCTGCTAAAACTGTAGTTCTTGCTTTGTTCAAATTCATTAAGGGGAATAAATGTATGAAATTTCTGAAAAAACGCCTCCCCAGCGAATCTTTTAAATCACTGAATCGTTTGGTGACAATTCGGTGCAGAATATCAAGAGAGGTGACACGTTTGAAGTTTTACCATGACTGCTTGCGGTCACACTTCTTTCCTCGTCATCTCATCAAGTCACTACGTTCTTGTAAATTACCCCCATCTCTCAAGAACCTCCGGCACATTACAAAATCACATATTGAATCAACAGAATCTCTGATTTCTAAATTGAGAACTGAAGTCCGTTCTTTCGATGGCGTTGTCAATAGTTTGAGTATAGTATGTCGGATCAAATTCATCAATTTCATCCAAGGACTTCAACAGAAAACATGTGAAAATTTTTACAAAACTCTTTCGAAATCCCTGACAAAGGAGAAATTGTGTGACGTTTTCCCAGAAAATCCTGAGGAGTTTATCTGTAATCTATCGAGTCTGAAGTTAAATCGCATTGAAAAGTGGTTCTATCAGTTGAGTGACCTCACTCCAGTTGATGATGACAAGAGGAGCTGGTTCAAATCGAAGCTCGTCGACGTTGCAAATCAATACCTCATTTCTCCAATGTCATATTCCAAAGTCTTTTCTGAAGAGCATCTAAGAGCATTGAAAGCTCTCAAGAATAATGACAAAATTGTTATATTGAGACCTGACAAAGGCTCAGGTGTGGTGCTGATGGACAAAGAGGACTACATCGCAAAGATGAAAGCTGTGTTAAATGACCCGTTGAGATTTAAAGTTGACAGTTGCCAGAAAGATAAGACAGATGCAGTCGAAAAACGTATCACAAACGCCTTGAGAGATCTTCTAAAGAAGAAATTGATTGACAACAACACGTACAATGATTTGAAACCCTGAGGGTCCCGCTTGCCACACATGTATGGCGTTCCGAAGATACACAAAGAACAAGTCCCCCTGAGACCCATACTTTCGATGATCAACTCGCCCCAACATAAGGTGGCACGTTGGCTTGCGGAGAAGTTGGAACCTATTCGTCAACGGCTAGGCGTGCACACGGTGAAAGACTCATTTCATTTCTCTGAAAGTGTGAATCACATGAACGTTCTAAATAACTTCATGGTGTCATTTGATGTAACCTCCCTATTCACAATGATTCCAGTCAATGAAACCATTGAAATCATCTGTCAGCAGTCCGATCTTCTCCCACTCCCAGAGTCTGAATTCAAACGCCTACTGCTTATGTGCACCATGGATGTGCAATTCCTATTTGACAACACGTTTTACCGCCAAATAGATGGTGTAGCTATGGGCAGTCCACTTAGCCCTGTTTTAGCAGATATATTCATGTCTAACCTTGAAAGAACAAAGCTGAAGCATGCAATCGACGAAACATCTTCCTACTGTCGTTATGTTGATGACACATTTATAGTGTGCAAAAATAAAAGTCATGCTTCACACTTACTAAGATTATTCAATGGTGCACACGCCAATATTGACTTCACTATGGAACACGAAAGTGACGGAAAGTTTCACTTCCTCGACATAGCCATGGAACGCCTAGAAGACGGTAGTCTTCAAAAGTCAATTTATCGAAAGCCCACATGGAAAGGACAATACTTGCATTTTAATAGCTTTTGTCCACATAGCTTTAAACGTGGTCTGGTCAAAACTTTGTACTATAGAGCGAGGAGAATATGCTCTACAGAGAAACTAGAGGAGGAGTTTGAGTTCCTTGAAAATATATTGAAGAGAAATGGGTATCCTCAAAGGTTCATCAACAAGTATGGAAGATCTGAAGTCAAAAGAGTAAAACAAATCACAGTGGAAAAAAAGCCAGTCTACCTTCAGCTTGATTACAAAGGTGAAAATATTGCAGCGATGATCAACAGAAGGCTGAGTACATCACTAGCCATAGCGTATCCTGCAGCTAAGCTCGTTCCCGTCTATCGAACAACTTACTCTTTGGTGCAATCGAAAATCGATAGATATCCTTCTCATGTTACCTCCAACTGTGTATACAAATTTACATGTATCTGCGGGAGCAGTTACATTGGAAGGACAGAAAGAAGGGCATATCTACGATTTTCTGAACATGTACCAAAAAGCTTACGTCTAAAGGGAACAAATGCTTTAAACAGTGCCATCACCAGGCATCTTCTCGACACGGGTCATGAGGTGGACGTTGAAAAGTCGTTCAAAATTATCAATAAGCAAAATAGCTCAATTCTCCTTAAGTTTGCTGAAGCCATTTCCATCAAGCGCCTGAAACCTGATTTATGCGTCCAGAAAGAAGCGGTTATCAGCCTTTCTTTGCCCTGGTAACTGGATAATTTCACCTCTCTTTCCTCCGAATGTGAAATGCTAAAAGTTTCCATTGTGTTTGATTATTATTGTTCGGAATAGTGGTTAATATTGCATATTTATATATGTATATATTTTTAGTGTATGAGTATATTGATCGATTGATTTTTGTTTAAACTTAACTCTGTGCAAGTATGTTAAAATTGTTGTTGTAGATATATTTAATAATGTCTTTGCCATGTAAGCAGCTGACGAGAAGGCAACGAAATAAAAGATGGTACCATTTTATTCTGCTAAAACTGTAGTTCTTGCTTTGTTCAAATTCATTAAGGGGAATAAATGTATGAAACATATATAACCTTTTAGGAATCATTAGAAATTTTCAACTAAAAGTGAAAATAGTAAGCAAACAGGCTGTCCAAAGTCAACTAGTTCGCCAATTTGGATTTAACCAATTCTCATGTAAACAATAAAGCATCTTTCACCACAGGTTATACAGCTAAAACAACAAAACAATATATTCTAATCTTAAGAAGACACTAGCAACAGTAAAGCAATGATATTACATACCGGTCCAGGAGACATTCGTAAAGATTGCCAGAATGACGGGCACGTTTTACATCACTGAACTCTTCTTTGCTCAAACGAAGCTTTTGATCTTGCCAGCTCTGATATTTACGGCTAGAAAACATTATTTATGCGGATAAAACAAAAGACACTTAGTTAAGAGTACCGAAAATGGAGAAAAAAGAAATAAGTGTATGCAGAAGACAGTGAGCCAAACCTACAGTTTGGAGGTTGACCACGACCACTTAGATTTACAGGCTACGGCCCGTGGTGCGAGGTTTGAACTTATTTCCTAAACGTTGAGTAACTAATCTAAATAGCTGCACTTTCCTTTTCCATCTCAAATTTATTCCTGGACGAAGATATAAAACTACGTGATATAGTTGCGTCGGTGGCACAATAGTTATGACTATCGCCGACTATGCACATGATCCGAGGTTCGATCCCCTGCCGACGCACACCCGATATCTGTAGTCGGCCTGCAAAATTTGGGCTACCGATATCACATGCTGAAAATTCCATACCTGTACCGAAAATACGGTGTGGCATCAAGCTGTAATCAAAAATAAATAAATTTGCTTCGCTACATGTCACACTGAAACGTCCAAGTGAAGCCAATAAGTGGGGAAGTAAAGATACGGTAAGATATTTTCCTGGTAGTTGTGAGTGTAAACAAGAGGCACCTCGAAACAAGGATGAATATATTATAATACATAAAGAATAACATCTAAGGGAAAATAGTAAAATGACACACTAATTAGTAAACCACAAAAACAACTATACAAGCAATTTATTTGTCTGATTACACTACAGATTATTGTTTTATGCTACTACTATTGCCTTTGGTACCACCAAGTGACATCACACTCTAGGCTCTTGAGTGGAACCCGAACGGGAAGCGGTGAGTTGGTCGTCAGTGCGAGGGTGACATGGAGGAGGTCATGCGAAGAGGAGATGAAAGCACGTGGGTGGAGGTGGAACCAGATAAAAACGTTGGCAGAGAACCGAACGCAACAGGGATAAAGAATAATATTTCTTTAGGTTCCAAGTGGAACAAAGGGCTTCAACAGCACAGGCTATAATAGAACCTACAGAGAATGTACTACACAAGTTCGACATTCTGATAACAGGGCTCGTAAATATCTGAAGTGATAACAACCACTGGTGTTTGTCAGGGATACACAGTCACCATTTTTGTTTAGTTCTATCATCGATGTACAAATGAAATTGACCATAATCGACTCCAGCGACTTAGAGATTGACTTCTTACCACGGAACAGTTTTTTTTTACATCGAACATGCGGACGGTACAGTCCTCCTGGGTGAAGATGCTGATAAAAATACAAAGTCTTCTCAACACCTCGAGCAGAAATCTTCAAATATTTGGCATGCGATTCACCCCTCTCAAGTGTAAGATGATGCTACAGGACTCGACTACATCGACTCCTAGCCTAAAGATACACAGTGAAGTGGTAGAGTGTGTTGACCACTTTACTTATTTCGGAAGTTGCATCAGTTCCAACTAACTGATTGCAGACGAAATCCCGGTACGGACACAAAAGGGTCGTGTGGCATTTGCCAACTTACACCATCCCTGGCGTAGGCGTGATATCCAGCTGCCAACCAAAGGACGTGTGCACTCCACACCAGTTCGCCTCGTCATCGTTTATAGCTGTGAAACATGGCCATTGAAAGTGAAAGATATGAAATGGTTAGTAGTCTCCACTAATAGATGTCTAAGTTCTATCATCCTAGTTGGGTGGTATAATAGGGTGAGTAATACTGAGGTTACGCTTCGATAGTGTTAGGTAAGGAGGGAAAGTCAATCGAAGAGGTTGTGTGGCTCTTACTAACTGACTGGTTTCAAGACAAAACTTTGCACAAATATGCAGCAGTTCGAGTCACCCCACTTCATGTAGCACACAAAGCAAAAGAAGAAAGTAAGGTAAACAGAATAGTCCTATGGAAGAACAATATAGTTTTATTGGATATGATAATTCACAAGGAGTGGATGCATCTGTACCACTGAGAACAATTTTGAGTCATATCACCGATTGTCTTTAGTCATTGGTTTCTACTGTCCTGAGGACCCCAAGCAGTCAGGAAGTCTACACCTTCCTACGTGACTGGCTTAAACTAACTGTTGTGGATTTCATTGATTGGTGCCATGTTTTGGTTTGACCACCGCTGACTCTTTTCCAGCCTGAACCTATGTCAGCTAACATTGCCCGTCGAGGAAGGTGATCGATGGCTGGACATACGTAACACACATCCTAGCCATCTCAATCGATGTAACTTCACAGCCTCGTCGATTGATTTCCCCTCCTTATCTAGCGCTCGACACCTAACCTCAATATCGCTCACCCTATTATACCACTTAACACAGGAGATAGGACGGAAGCACCTACGATCGAAGACAGCTAGCCTTTTCATGTCTTCCACTTTCAATGGCGATGTCTTACTGACAGCCATAAAGAACGGAGCAGACTGCTGAGCAGTACACACACTCTTTGGTAGGCAGCCGGATATCACGTCTACGCCAGAGATGGCGTAAGTTGGCCTATGTGTAGCTATATCGATTGAGATGGCTAGGACACGTGTTACACATGCTTAGCCATCACCTTCCTTGACGGGCAATGTTAGCCAATAAAGGATTAGGTTGAAAAGAGTTACGAGTGGTCAAACGAAACCTCAGAATCAGTCCACGACACCTTTGACAGTTGATTTGAGCCGAATAAGGAATCACTGGTTGAAAACTGTTGGCAAAATCCTTCAAACTTTTCGAAATGAAATAAATGTATTTATTCCATTATGGTTAGATTTTGTTTTGATAAAGTCTCACAGTTATACAGTAATGTTTACACTGTGAGACTTTATCAAGACAAAATCTAACTATAATGGAATTACACTCAACCACAGTGCACAAGTTTTATTCTTATATCAAATGTATTTATTCCTCCTCATTCACCATATTTTGAAAACAGTCAATAATCTCCATCTAGCTGTTCTTTTTATCGTATATTTTCGTCTCTTGAAGTTTCATTATATTCTCTCCCTTTATTATTATTATTGATAATTTTCCAAAATGTAGCAGTCTGATCTGATGCAATTAAGTGAAAAGTTCTGTACTGATAATTCAGTTTAATATTAAAAACAACTTAACCTGCAAACTCTGAAATGTCATCAATATATACGAAAACCAATAACTCACACATAATTAACCTCAGCTTTTTCAAACCCTCGCGTTCTTCTTCTGGTATGTCCAATAGAGGATCGTGTGTAAGTGGTTTGTTTGAACGGAACTGATGAAAATTTAGAAGCAAATAAGGGGAAAATCAAATATTTATATCTATAGATTTATCTATAGTGAATAACATCATCACAGCATAACTTCATGCATGTGTTTTGGAAACAGGAAGAATACTAATTGAGAAAAAAAGAACATTTATACATAAACTGAGCCAGGACCAAGTTATAAGTATCACAATTAGTTAGGCCTAGCGGGTTCAAAGAAAGCATGCAAGGATTAAGCGTCAAAGTAGTTGCGTGGAATTCAATTCTTGACAGAGGTTTTAGAGTTACAACACACATTTTTGTAACATAATATCGACCGTTTATTCAATAGATTACATTAAACTTGTTAGTCTAATGCTTACAGAACCTCATGAACTACTAGTTCCGAAATACGTTATTACAGTCTATAAATAAACAGAAATTTCCGAAGACCTGTTTATACTAACTTTAATGTCCACAAAAACACTTCAAATAAGGAATGATATTTTCACAATAATTAACTTGTTCTTTGACATAAGTTTCTTATTTGTAAACTGTTTTGACGTCGTGTTACCACATCATTAGTGTATTAAGTTTTTAAAATACGGTATACAGATCAGAGAATAACTGAGCTCAAACTCTCTGATACTGGAAATGTAAATATAATTTCTAGGCTAACATCCAGGTAAAAGCACAAGTATATACATAGTTCTGCCTGTATCGTCGTATATAACAGGTCAGTAATCACTTAGATGTTTGTTTACTAGCCTAAAAGTCACACATTTTGCAAAACCTAACAGTACCGACATAAATTATGTATAATGGCACGATAGTCATTAGACCAACATATGGCAAAATAAAACACTTCATACTGAATACAGATAAATTATAAAAGTACATACAGTAACCATTTCATTCGTCTTAGCTTGTTGACTTTTGAATACTACATCGTCTGTTTCAGGATCTGGAGAAAGGAAACAATTGTTTGCACCCAACAATGCACTACGACCATCTTGAAAAACTGGTTCAAATTGTTCAAAAATACCAACGGCATCTGCTGTAGCCGTTAGAAGAGCATCGGATTTCGTAGAGACGCCAAGGTATTTGCCATAACTGTGCAAATATAGAAAATTTATTATACATAAATCTACTACAGATACATTTTTTTTTTAAATAATGAATATAAGACTGTATCGACACATTGATGACACGTAGGGTGACAGTAACTTATGATTACCATGTTTAACTGATGCTATTAGATGTGCCTTTACAATCTACATAGTAAAAGAATTTATGAAGAAAAGTAGTACTATGTACTTCATACTTCTACCTGTTGAATCACCCTGGAACTATATTAGATAGTTTATAATTTTTTATAGGACTTTAGAAGCCTATTCATTACTTACAGACAACGTGTACTGCATTGACGTTTATGCGCTTAACAAAAATTTCTTTTATACTAACATTACTTTAACTCCAAAGACTGATATAAAACGAACCGATTTTAATATTAGAAGTTAAAATTTGGACTGGATGCACTTCTACCTAACTCGCCATTTCTACTTACACACGGAAATCGACTGGCAATATCATTACGCCTGAAGTTGCCATCTTTTTAAGCATGACTAGTTGTTTCAGCAACAATTAATCCTCACATCATCTGAAGTAAGAGTAATTTAGAAAGTAGGTGAAGGCTAAGAACAAACAGTAAATACCATTCTCTCTTAAGTTCGAGAGGTCTTTTCACATGAACCTAATAGAGACAACTTTCAAATAACCTACTTTCTAATTTAACGCATGATGTGACCATTAGATATTTCAGTGCAAGGTCGGAAGATGACTTGATAAGAATCAAGAATGCATTATTAAAAACAACCTTAGCATGAAAATCTAAGGAAAATATATTACGTATAGTGACGGTGACCAGATAAACAGTTGAAGTTGAAAGCATACAGAAACAATGAGCGAACAGAGAAGTATATCAATTGAGACTTGTACACTTAAAAATAACACTAAAAGGTAGAAAAGACATAGAACGATATAAACAGACTACGATGTAAGAGAAAAGATAAATTAAGATTTTAAAGATAATAAACAGTGAATAGATATAAGCCGTTGTGAAGGACTTCGGACCATCTGACCAACATTCGTTAGCTATCAAATTTTAGCGCCTCAAGGAGCTCAGCCAAACGAAATACACCTCCCGACGAACCTCAGTAATGTAATCATACCTCTTATAGATCACAAATATTCTGCAAATACATTTTTGTGAAACTTAAAATTTACTACTTCGTGACACTTGATGGAAGACTGAACAAACAGAAATAACATTTTCTAATTATGTCTCAATTTCTTCAAAACCATAAGACAATTCATTATTCTGTAATGTGAGTGATTAAAAAGAAAGTGTCCATTTAACACCTTTTATAATCACTTCTCAGCTATCTTTCAAAACAGTAGTAATGAGACAGAAGGAACTAGCACACACGGGATACTCCTAACAGACACATCGCATAAACGTAAGGTAGGACATGGCATATTGTTTGGTAGTACTTAAACTCTGATAAGTAATCGGTATCACACCAACAGCAAACGGGTTCTAAATCTCCACAATGCGAAGCAGTTAGCAACTACTCCATTATGTCTAATGCAACCTTTTGAATAAGTGAAGTGATCATCGCAACCAACCACTGTAACTCCAACTCAATTTTGGCAAATGCGATATGCATATCAAACACTCAAATTCTCACTTAAGATGAACAGAAAACCATCCATTTTGTTATCATTCTTCTATAGTAGCACCATATCATCTTAATAAAACAAGTTGACTGACTTTTCTTCATGAGAGATCTGCAACAGCTAACTGAGCAAAACACAGTGGAATAGTCCCGGCCGACAACTGCTACCTTGCCGTGGTGGTCGGACTTGAATATCGCAGTGACCCAACAAGCTAAACTGGCTGAGACTCATGTCGCTGCAGGTCCTACCATGTCAGTAAGGTTGTTTGGATAGCAATTAAACTAAAAGCAGTTACCATGGGGTACATGGGCTCCACGGTGTGGGCAGCCGGGAAGTAACAATCGCCCTCACAATCCGAAACGCACGCGAAACCTCTCTATTACTCACTCATCTTTGTTTTCATCTTCATCTCTATCATCTTGCCTTCCTTCCACTGATGCAACTCCTCGACTTGATAGCTCTCCACTTCCTCTCCACTCTGCGTCCACTAAAAACGATGGAAGCCAAAAAACCACCACCGACAGCCTCTTAAAGCCGCGCCACCAATTTCATATAGGAGCTCTTAATGTTAGGACACTTTGCCAAATAGGACAACAAGCATCACTAGCCAAGACCCTGGCATCACGAGCCATTGATGTATGCTGTGTTTCAGAAACACGCATACAAGACCCAAGTGTGGTTATTCACCTAACCCCACCTGGCCAACAGGTTGAATCTGCAAAATTCACCTTGAGGGTGTCAGGAGATGCCACAGCTAGTTCACGAGGATTAGCTGGCGTAGGGATAGCTTTGAGTACTAGGGCAGAAAAGACATTGCTTGACTGGATCCCGGTAGATAGCCGAATGTGTGCTGTCCGCCTGAACGGATCAGTAAGAAGGAGAAAGGACTGCACTACTCGCCGATGCCTTTTCGTAATCTCCGCCTACGCCCCCACTGACTGCAGTTCAGATGAAACGAAGGATGAGTTCTACCAAAAGCTGTCTAGTTTGGTGCGAAAGGCTAAACGCTCAGACATAGTCGTTCTAGCTGGTGACTTTAACGCTCAAGTAGGGAAATTGTGTCAATCTGAGAAGGATGTCGGTGGCACCTATGGAGTTCCGTGCCAGCGAACCGACAACGGTGACCGTCTCCTACAGTTCTGCTCTGATAATCATTTGTTTCTTGTAAGCACTAACTTCAAACACAAGGAGAGACACTGTTTGACTTGGAGACCCCCTTCATCAAACCAACGCTGGACACAAATAGACCACATAGCAATAAGCTATCGTTGGCGTGGGTCGGTAGGAGATTGTCGCTCCTTCTGGAACACGTGTGTAGATACCGACCACGCGCTCGGGTGTGCTTACGACTGAACGGACGTAGGAAACAGCTGGCGGTAAAACCATCACGTCCCCAGCTCGATCAGGAAACTAAATCCGTATTTGAGGAAGAACTAGCTAAACACATATCTGTGTTCGACAGCTGTGCTCACCCTGAAGAAGCTTGGAAAAATATCCAGGCAGCCATAGATACAGCTGTAAAAGCTGTGAATAAGGTAAACCCAAAGGTGAGTAAAAACCACTGGATCTCCACCGCCTCATCCGAACTGATAGATGCTAGAAGACTTATTCCGGCGAGCTCCGAATTCAATGAGGAGCGAAAGCTGCACAAGAGGAAACTTACGAAAAGTCTCCGCAAGGACCGTGAACAGTGGTGGGCGACAAAAGCCAAAGAGATGGAGAAAGCTTCGAGGATAGGCAACACCAGGCAACTCTTTAGACTCATCAGGGAAACGGGTGGGAGAAGACAAATCATTAGTGAGACAATCTCGGAAAAAAATGGCACTATAATTAGCTCCCAGGATAGACGACTGGATCGTTGGAAAGAGCATTATGAGGAGCAGTTTAATTTGCCCACAGCCACGCTCAACCTTCCGAGCATCCAACACCTCCCTGAATGGGATATAGACACAGGTCCTCCGTCACTAACTGAGGTTACTAAAGCTGTCACCAATCTGAAACTAGGCAAAGCAGCGGGACCTGATGGAATGACTCCAGAGGTATTTAAGTACGGTGGAGACAGCTTACTGTCTGGATTAACTGAGGTACTAGGCAGCGTCTGGGAATCAGAAGAAGTCCCATCGGGTTGGTGTAAGTCACTGATTATCCCCATATACAAGAAGGGAGACAAGTCTTCCTGTGATAATCACAGAGGGATTAGCTTGACTAATATAGTATCTAAAGTCTTAGGCTCAATAATCATGCGTAGACTGAGTGGTGCTCGGGAAGCACAAACACGAGAGAGCCAGGCAGGCTTTAGACCAGGAAGAGGGTGTATTGATCATATCTTCACCCTCCGACAGATTCTAGAACATAGGCATTCCTACCGGCGTCCAACAGTCATTATATTTCTTGACCTAAAGGCAGCATTCGACTCTGTCGATCGAGAAGTTCTCTGGAGATGCTTGGCTGTAAAGGGAATTCCGAGAAAATATATTGCACTGATTAAGGCACTCTACTCGTACTCATACAGCCAGGTGAGGGCTTACGGCGAGCTGTCATCTGAACTGATGACGACCAGTGGTGTCCGTCAAGGATGCCCATTATCTCCTTTTCTATTCAACTTCATCATAGATGTGTTAATGGACTTAACCCTAGGTGACTTCAGCGACTCAGGGATTGACTTGCTACCGGGAATAATCTCGTTGACTTGGAATATGCAGACGATATAGTCCTTCTAGGCGAAGACGCTGACGAAATGCAGAGTCTTCTAAACACCTTGAGCCGCAATCTACGAATGTTTGGCATGCGATTCGCTCCCGCCAAATGCAAGATGATGTTACAGGACTGGACTACATCGACGCCTAGTTTAAAAATAGGAAGTGAAGTGGTAGAGCACGTTGACCGCTTCACTTATTTGGGAAGTACCATCAGCCCCAACGGGTTGATCTCTGACGAAATCTCAGCACGAATACAAGGGGCTCGTTTCGCATTTGCCAGTTTACGCCGACTCTGGCGTAGACGAGATGTTCGACTATCGACCAAAGGGCGGGTGTACTGCTCATCAGTCCGCTCCGTCCTCCTTTATGGTTGTGAGACCTGGCCACTGAGAGTGGAAGACATGAAAAGACTAGCTGTCTTTGATCATAGGTGCCTGCGTTCTATTTCCCGTGTAAAGTGGCATAATAAGGTGAGCAACATTGAGGTTAGGCGTAGAGTTCTAGGTAAACAGGGGAAATCAATCGACGAAGTCGTGAAGCTACAAAGACTGAGATGGTTAGGACATGTGTTACGTATGCCAAGCCATCGCCTCCCTCGACGAGCAATGTTAGCGGATATAGGGTCAGGCTGGAAAAAAGCTAGCGGCGGTCAAACAAAAACTTGGCACCAGTCAATGAAATCCACAACAGTTGGTCTAAGCCACGTAGGAAGGTGTAGACTTCCAGGCTGGGGTCCTCGGGACGGTAAAAATCTATGGTTGGAAACAATTGGTGACATGGCTCAAAATCGTTCTCAGTGGCGCAGATGCATCCACTCCTTGTGACTTATGATCTTCAATGAAACTGTTTTGTTCTTCTTTATTACTCCTTTGTCTCACACCTCTGCTCACTGTTTCTATTATGCTTTTCTTGTACTTTCTTCTCTTGCTTCGCGTGCTACACGGAATGTGGCGACTTGAACTTCCGCACATTTGTGCAAAGTTCTATGTCGAAAACAGACAGACATGGGCTCCAGTATCCAATCGGATCAAATGGCGTATGAACCCATATAGGTCATCGGCAACCATGGGAATGCAGCTCCTGACGCTGCTCCGCTGCCTTGCGGATTAGACTCCAAGTCAAAGGCCCGGGGGATGGTCCCTTAAGAAAACCACCTGCTTCGGTCTGGGTGCCCGGGAAGTATCTCAGCACTCACACGATGAAGTGAATAAAGCAACAAACAATCGATGAAACTTATGGCGTTATTACATCTGTTGCAATTTCCTTCTTTCTTCCCTTCCCGATGATAGTTAATGAAAACTGTTTGAACTTGTTAAGCATGACTGTTTTCCTTCCGGATGAAGTTGTTTATCCGTTCTCTATTTATATATATACTTTTTTCCCTTCTTTCTTTTTTTCTTTTGATCTATATTGTTTTATTATTATTGTGTGGCGCATCTTTCTTGGTGCCATATTGTACCAAGTTTTTATGCGTTTAAATAAAAATAATACAGTGGAATAGTCAAGTACATCCAAGCTTTGAGATTCGCATCAACACTAGTCAGCCGGTTTTTCAAAAAAATTCAGCCAAAACGAAGAAGAACTATTTGATATTCGCCAAGATATGGTAATGAAAATTAACTATACAACAGCCAACTTTGCGCAACCTTACTACCGTAAAATATGGTCACTGAAGATGAGTAACTGAAGAATTTTTAAGCACAGGTGTTCTAGGAGAGCTGCAGTGGAACAGTTGATACACTAATGGACTTCTGCATAGATTAGTGAAAATATTTAAAAGTATTTCGGCTGAAATGGTTGTCAGATTTCAAGAAAATAAATAAATCACTACATTTTTGTGTAACTTTCCACTATGTTCAGTTTGATTATTTGACATCTCATCCATCACATTTACAGTATATATTACAATAGATAATAAAAGTAATCTGATTTATTCAGAAACAAACAGCAGAGTAATGAAATAGAATGACCGAACTTTAATCACTAAAAAACTATTGGGTTATAAATTATTTCACTTGCTAAAATTTACTGTTATTAATTCCAATAACAATCCAGAACATATTAAAACCAATACTCACACTAACTAACCCAGATTTAAAAGCAACTTTGGTTTCTGAAACTTTCATGGCAGTAAAAATTTCTTCCGGAGCCGGTGGTTCGCCATATTTCCTTGGTGGACCAATAACAAGTAGGCCCTCATCAGTAGCTGACAAGTAACAAGCATCCGGAAACTCCTTGTTACTTAAATTCTGTTCAGACTCATTGAATGATTGTCCACTAGATGCAACATTCACCTGTATTGCGATTGAGTCCTTAATTTCATCGAACTCCTTAACAGACCACCAGCCACCATGAGCTTCTGCATCAAGTATGAGTTCTGATTTTTTCGCTTTAGGCTCTGAATCATGCTTTCTTTTATGATGCTTTTTTTTCTTTTCACCTTTCAATTTTAGTTTTCCGGGCCGTACAAATGAATAACTGTCCATTACCTGTAATATTCATTTAGATTTTATATGTAAAAAATAAACAACAGTGCAGTAGATAATTATTTAATTCACCTCTACTAGGTTCACCTCAGCCTGGTTTAAATATGATAATAAAAGAAATCGAGGAAGTTTTAATACAAACTGCGAATCAGATACCTATTAAAATCTCACCCTACGAATTACGAACTACTAAACCTTATGCACGCCAGAGCACTAGTTGTACAGAAAAGGCATCAGCATCCAATTATTACGTCAAGATTCAACACAACGAGATACATTTTTCAAGTACCAAGCTACGGGTTGATGATACCACTCAGTTAACCAGAACACATTAGGTGAAGGATTCTAATACGTGACACGACAGCTAAAAGTTGAGTGCTTAAGACATTGATCCACACCACGCTCATGAATTATGAAGACTAATACTAGCGACCAGATAATAACGTACACTAACTGATCGAACATGCATATGCATGATTTGATGAAGCTGAGAGATGTCAGTGGTATAGATGAGATTAACTCACGTTATTTTATGTAGCATAAAGAGGTATTTACACTAAGTTCTTCTATCCCGGCTATCATATTGAGTGGAGCAGTACGGATAGTAAAAATTAAGCTCCATGTAGTACTAGGTAGAAAAAGTGAATCGATGAGGCTGTGAAGTTTGATCAACTACGTTCGCTACGTCATGAGTTACGTACGTCAAACTATTGCCTTTCCTGTCGTATAATGTTAGTTAGAGGAGAAACTAATTGGAACAGTTAGTGGCTTTCGAAAAAAAATATGAAGCCTTTGACTCTTAGTGTGAGCCATTTACAAAGGTGTAGACTTTCTAGCTGAAGACATCTAAATCAAAATCTTTCACTCCTTGTTATTTTCCAGATTCTGAAAACTATATAATTATCCGGTACATTTTCATCTATTTCGGTTTTATTATACTTTTCTCCTCTACATTTCCGTGTAATTTTCCAAAGTGTGGCAACATGAACTGTTACACTTTTGTGCAATTCAGTCAGTGCTACATGAAACTAAGTTCCTATATCATGAAATTACATTGTGCTATAGTGGCCAAGATATATACTTGTATCAGTAGATTGATTAACGCTGTAATTTATCATCAGTCGAAGCCAGTCAAGAAGTATTGCAGGTATTACTTAATACGTCAATCACAATCAGGAACAGCAGAAATAAAAATAACCCTCCGATTAATTACTGTCTATCCTTCAGTGTCATTAACCTACGGATCGCAAACTTAGAAGAAAAATTTATGTATAAACATGAGGTACACATGAGGTACTCAAAAGCGTGTCAAAAACACAACACATCAACGGATCACGAAAGCAGTTTCGCAACGCGGTACCCGTTGTCCTATTCGAAATAAGTTTTGGTCTTTTACAGCTTTAGGGGAGACTTCTGGACTTTTAAGGTCCTACATACCACACGATGAGTCATTAACAACAGTCACAGAGTTAGAAGAACACGGAGTGTATTGTGAACAATATCGTCACTGGGGATTAAGCATGCGAAAAAGATGGGCACGGACGATGAACAGATTAGTTTCGTGCACTCGTGGATCGTGAATTCTCTTCGAAATGAAAAAGGGGAGGGCATTAATTCCTTTGACAATAAAGTTCTGAAGAAACCAAATATAGGCTGCAAATTACAGCAGAAGTCGGATTTTACGATTCTCTAACCTAACTCTTCTAGTTACTCAACAGAATGGAGAATATCATTGTTTTGTAAATCTGTAAATCTCTTTGATGGAATTATGACTTTCTCCTCAGACCACCAGGACAGCTCAAAGCTCATATTGGAACAGTAATTGTATATAATTTTACCTCTAGTCTACCTAATTTTCCAGTATGGTATAGCGTCCATATCAAACAGCTGGAGATCTCCAACGAAGTAGTTCGAACTACTTCGCAGACGAGAGTAAAGTGGGTCAAAGCATGGTATGCATTCCTTTCAGATATCAGGAAAATAGTTGCAAACGAAATTTTATTTTGGACTTAAATAGGATAGGGAGAATAAGTGAGAAAATCGCGGGGTAAATAGGAACCCAGCTAGGATTTTATTCGGGTGCACTGCCGGAAGTGGGACAAGGCTTCAAAGCCTGTGCGCCCGAAGTTTTAGTACCAAATTTCATCTACGTTGTACCCATATCTCAACAGACTGAAATCGCAAATTTACCAAAGTCTTACTTCCTACATATGAAGTTTCCGACTGGACCATCTTCCGCGTCAGTAAGTGTAATTTGCGAGGCGGGCCAACATGTCAAAGTTTCAGCTATCTGTCGAACAAATTGTTTGAAATCTTACATTGATGACCCAATGAAATAAACAATACATTAACTACGAAAATACTAGGAATACGGGCAAAAACAAACGACCTAACTGATGACCTTGAAGAGTTAAATTGTCATCCGTTCAACTGATGACCTTATGAATTCATATGATATGTCAGGAAATGAAAATTCCTATAAATCCGGAAAACGTATAACACAATTTTATTGAAAATTGCTAGCGAAAAAAACTTACCAAGGTAAATTTCAACCAACATGCAGAATAAGTCCAGCCTGTGATTACACACATGACCTTGCATAAGTAAGCTGTTTGAAGAAACGAAGTAAAAAGAAGTTGTTCCTTCTTCAAAAATGTACCTTAGACATGCAAGAAATCTTTGCGTAATACTCGGTACTAAGAATGCGGTCACAAACCATTCTTGGAAATAACTGGTCTACAGCTGCATCCTCGTTCAAAATTGAGTTCCATTCTTCACTATTTTGGTCGACTAGATATGCCTAAAACACATGCACCTGTTGAAGCACCCGCGTTACCCTGTACTCTGTTGTGTTATATTCGGTGTTCATGAAGGATCCTTAAGGAGTTAAGTGTGCATAAATCCTTAATAGCACTGATTATTAAATATAAATACATTAGAATGTGGTATCGAAGCAGACTTAGACGTACGTTTCTTTACACCTCCAGCATCTACCATGTCTTCGCTAAGCTAAAGATATTGGTGTCACTTGCCGAATTTAAAGTCTACGCCTTATGCTAAATCTGTCGTCTCAAAGTAGATATAGCTCACAAGCCTCCCACACCGAAGAAAGTATGCCTCAAACACATATACAGTACTCGGTTGCTCCACGACCCTTTCTAATTTATTGAATGAGTATGATAGGATTCTTGCAGAAAATACTCACCGCACTTTTATAAAATTTTCACTACAGGCCAATAAAAGCTTCATTTTCTTGTACAGATGCGTAAAACATGAATACCAGCCACTGTGGATAAAGTGCCAAAGGCTTAACTAGAATTCCTCTTGCGTCTTACATGTGGTAACTTTAAATATAACTGATAGGTTGATTTCAAACAGGGAGTACTCTGTTTTGTTATTCGCAAACCATTTCTTTTATCAGCTGCTGAACGAAACAACATTCATGGACTTCTTTAAATGATACACCATAAGTTATGATGAACTTCCAACTCTGGCGTCTATCAGCGTCTATCTCGCTTAACATAAACGAGTTCTGAAGGAGTTTCTGCCGTCTTAAAGTATCTGTCGAATTCTCACATATTCCAACAGTTCAATACTTCATTAGCAACAGAACGCTATATATATTTGACCGTTCCATTTGAAGTCGGAGACAAAGTACTCTTCCCACGGCTCACAACAGCATTAGCAACAGAATACTATGTATTTAAACATTTTATTTCACATCGTTTAACGTAAACCCAAGTTGCACGCTTCGTGAATGGTTGAAAAATATAAAACTATGTGCCTATAAATAGCGGTTTGATCACATGAAAAGGCAAAGTTAAACTTTAGACACCACTAACAGCCAATCAGCAAACGACCTTGAACGGACCAATCACATTAAAGAGGCATAAATGATGAATGGAAATGTATATTTATAGAAAAAAGCATAAAGCAGAGAATAAAAAGTTACGGGATCCGCAAAATCACTTGAATGGTTGACTCTATGATGAATATATCCCAGAGATGACAGCGAATTGTTGCCTTTTCACTCATCCGCATGTATAATTGACCCCCGCTTAACAAGTCTGGTAATAATAGGTATAAGAGTAATTGCTTTTCTATCTCCTATCCTTTCGAGGAATCCCTTTCGGAGGGAGGTGTCATACAAAACTATTACCCAAATATATAAATAAATAAAATAAATAAATTTATCCTCATGATACAGTACATGAGGGACGCCAGTTTACAGGCATCATCAAGTGGTTACAGAAATAGAAGCATATTATTCAGTCACAATTTACAGTCGATAGCAAAATATGTTTAACATGTGCACTGGAGATTATACATACACTTGGTAAATGTTAATCCGAATAGTATAAAACATCCTTTTCACCTATGTACAATGGTTTCTGTGCATAGTTGGAAAAATCTGCTAGATTGTCAGTGAGTGCAACACAGGAAATACAGAAGTATTGTCTTCGCATTAACAAAAAAACCAGGTCTTTGGTGGATGGTTTATAAGTGCCTGGGAAAAAATAAAGCTTGAAGTCAATTTTCGTACATTACTTGTTGTGTGCAGAGTCCTTGAATTATAGTTCATTGATGTGTTATTTTGAAATCAGTGATGTAATATTGTTCGTTTGCTGGCGACCACGGTTGTATTTCTTTTTTACCAGCACTGTTTCATCGACATGCACGATAACGTCTTCCTCACCCAGCAAACAAGTGATTTTCTCCATTTTCCATGATGCGATGTCTCTGCAATGCTGGTACCACTGAACTGTTGAGACATGGCTATTCTCCATCTCGGCAGCTGCTGCTCTCACAGCCTGTTTCAACACCCATTAGTTGCAGATATACAAAATCTGGGTTAGGGAGAGAAGCGACCTAGCGAAAAAAAGTTCCTACGAAATATTAAAATTATCAGCTTACCCTCTCTAGTGTTAGTAGGCTTCAAACATATAGCACAACGATGAACAAACCCATCAGTTGATTTGGTATAGCTTTTTAAAGTCATG